GAGCGACGAGAAGACGGTGATGGAGGGGGGAAGAAGGAGATGGGGGGAGAAGACGGTTCATGATGTTTCAAGAAGGAGATGGGGGGAGAAGACGAGAAGACGGTGATGATTTGGGAAAGGAGGGCATAGTTGGAAAAATGAACCTCTTAATGGTTTAGTGAGGTATAGGATGCAAAATGGTTAAGAGCCAATTGTCACCATTAAGAGGTTCTATTTTTTTTGCCAAACAGCCTCTGCCTCTTAGCGATTAAGAGGCTGCCTCTTAATGTCACCATTAAGAGGCAAACAAACAGCCCCTAAATGATATATAACGTTAATATGAATTTTTAATTTTTAAAAAAATAAATGGATAAATCCCAAGATATATGTATTATTGTTATGAAGACGTTTAATAGCTGTTAGGATCAAACCCTATCTAACCGCTTCTAATTATAACAAACTCCTCCTATCTTCTTCTTCATATCATCATCTCCATCATCGTCTCCTTCTCTCACTCTGCAACCAAACCATGGAAGGAAAAGCTTCTACTGCAACAAAGAAAGCAGACGAAGTAGAGAAATCGTTAAACGATTGGCTGACGATCACATCTTCCCGGAATGCTAAGTGGTGGTACTCCGCCTTCCACAATGTCACCGCCATGGTCGGAGCTGGTGTTCTCGGCCTTCCATACGCCATGTCTGAACTCGGATGGTATATATACACTCATCATTAACTTGTAAACAAGATTTTTCTTTAATGGTTGGAATAATCAAGTTTTCATTTGTGATTTGATCTGGTAGGGGTCCTGGGATTACAGTAATGATTCTATCATGGGTGATTACACTCTACACCTTATGGCAAATGGTGGAGATGCATGAATGTGTTCCAGGGAAACGATTCGATCGTTACCATGAACTCGGTCAGGAAGCCTTCGGCAAGAAGCTCGGACTCTGGGTGGTGGTTCCACAGCAACTCACCGTCGAAGTCGGTGTCAACATCGTTTACATGGTCACCGGCGGCAAATCCCTTAAGAAAGCCGTCGACACTTTATCCCCTCACGGCGGTCCACCCATCAAAACCACCTATTACATCATGATGTTCGCCGCCGTCCAATTCTTCCTCTCCCACCTCCCCAACTTCAACTCCATCACCGGCATCTCCTTTCTTGCCGCCGTTATGTCATTCAGGTACATCTTTTAACCTTCGTTTCTTACCTTCTCAACATATTTAAACTCATATCTTTTGTAAAACCCTAAATTGTTTTCTGTGTACGTGTAGTTATTCTACAGTAGCTTGGATGGCTTCTGTGCAAAAAGGGGTTCAACCTGATATCAAGTACACTCCAAGGGCTTCAACAACCATAGGACAAACGTTCGGGTTCTTGAGTGCGTTAGGTGATGTCGCCTTTGCGTTTGCTGGCCATAACGTCGTGTTGGAGATCCAAGCAACGATCCCTTCAACACCCGAAAGCCCTTCCAAGAAACCCATGTGGAGAGGGGTTGTTTTCGCGTATATCGTGGTGGCGTTGTGTTATTTCCCTGTCGCGATGATCGGGTACTGGACTTTTGGGGATTCTGTTGAAGATAATATTATGATTTCACTCGAACGCCCTGCAATTCTTATTGCGATTGCAAACATGTTTGTGGTTATTCATGTCATCGGAAGCTATCAGGTATTAATTTCCCGAGTCTTGATCATCATTTATGTAAGAATATGTCGAACCCCATTAAATTGTTTTGCAAATAGGTTTTTGCGATGCCGGTATTTGATATGGTGGAGTATTTTCTGGTGGGAAAGATGAAATTCAAACCGACTAAATTCCTTCGATTCGTGGCGAGAACGTCTTACGTTGGTAAGGATATGAATCTTGTGTTTGGATTAATGGTTATTAATTAATTGGTGATAACTAATTTGATGAATGTTTTTGGGCAGCCTTGACAATGTTCCTTGCTATTACCTTCCCATTTTTTGGAGGGCTTTTGAGTTTCTTTGGAGGCTTTGCTTTTGCTCCCACTACATACTTTGTAAGTTCATCGGATTCCATTTTGTTTTACACTTGAAACTTCACAGCAAAATACTGTAACAGATTTTATGATCAAATCTTATAAATGTAATTGAGATATACTAATATGATGTAGCTTAATTCGTTTCAGCTTCCTTGTATCATGTGGCTAGCCATAAAGAAACCCAAGAAGTTTGGTCTTTCTTGGTTCATAAATTGGGTAAGTTGCCATTATATTACTAACTTAAACAGTAAACAATGGAAAGACAAAGGATCGTGTGAGAAGAAAAGTTATATTAAGATGAGAAACGTGAGAATGGATCTGGATCCTTGAATCTTGATCAGCTTTAATCTCAAACTCACCCATGAATCTCGATCGGGGATTGGTCCGGTGCATCTCATTTCGGTGTATCCCGTCCTAATGTGCATTCAAGAGTGAAGATTTATTCTTACGTTTCTCACATTAACTCTTATTCTCACCGGAAGACGAAACCAAATGAAATACACAAGTATATAATTAGATGTGTATAATTATTGGGTTTTGATTTGGTGGTGCAGATGTGTATAATCATTGGGGTGTTGTTGATGTGTTTAGCTCCAATTGGTGCAATGCGACAAATCATATTGCAAGCCAAGGACTACAGATTTTACTCTTAGTATTTGCAGTTGAAATCGTATTTTTTTTTTCAACTTGGTGTTAGGGTTTTTGTTCTCGTGCAAAGTCATTAATTTGTAATTTAATAACGATCTTAATGAATTTGCATTTTATCTTAATTCTTTTCATCTCGTTTACGTCTTATTTTGTATTTTGAAAAAAAAACGTAATTTCACTCGTAACCACAAGAGTGGTGCCTGATTGGTTTGAGCTTGACTCCAAAGATCAAAAGTACCAGAAGGTATCAGGTTCAAATCCAAGTAGGAATAAAAATCTCATTGTGGCCACGAAGATTCAAATGCGATGACTTCGAGCTATCTGCAAAGCAGATGATTGCCCTGGGATTAGTTAGCTCGCATAGCGGGTTAATGACTAAGAAATGGTAATCGTTCCTATCTTGGGTGCTTAATCGTCCTGTGAGTTACAAATCATGGATGGTTATATGCGAAATGCAAAACTGGCTCAACCCCCTATGCAAAATTCTTGAGTCACTGAACAACTAGTAATGATCGAGTTAAGGTATAATGTGTTGTTTAATGGTGACCAACTGACACGAAAATCATAATGATCCTTTTGAAGTTTTTGGACAAAATTACTGAAACCGGTGGTTTAATTGAATCTTTGTCAGAGTATTCTCTTATTGTGTGTTCGGTACATGGATAGAATTGAACAAGCCTTGACAAACTAGAGTAAAGTAGACGGATGAAAGAGTTGTCCAAGATTTTAGGGTTTGATCTGACAACGGTAGTTTGGTAATCTATCCCGTCTCCCTAATTTTTGTTCAAACTATTTTGGTTGGACAAAAGAATGCATTTTGTCCAACTCAGTTCCATCATGTCATGTCATGTCAGTCTAATGTAATATCAAGCATGGCTTAACAAGTATTATGTCGTGTTTCTAGGCATGGGAATGGGGCAGGGACCTCAATCCCTGTCCCTGATTACTTATCTCTATCCCCGTCTTCATCCCCGCCTGGGAATATAATCACATCCGCATGTAAGTTATTTTAAATTAAATATGTGAGAGATCATACGTATTCTAATCTCAAACATTTTCAATAAACCTAAAACCAAAATGAATTTAATTTAATACAAAAAAATCACAACATCATATAATAACTAATAACCTAAAACCAAAAAAAATCAACTTAATCCAAAAAAACTTAAAGTTACATGTACAAAAGATATTGAGTAATATAAAACCATATCGAGTAATCGATTGTATTTTGACTTGATATTAACATCCAAAAAATATCAGTTTTAGATTATAAAACTAGTTACGAAATTATAAATTACCGTTTTAATTGAAATAAATGATATATATATAATTAATATATATATATATATATATATATATATATATATAGTTTGTTTCAAATACAACCCGTCACATTTGTACAACCAATGCAACCCAATAAATTGATAT